TCAACATACTAAAATTTTCAAAAATTTATAATAGCACTACACATGTATTTTGTAACTATCAACTCAAGTAACTTATTTTTATGTGTATTATTAGCGATTGAGCTATTTTTCTTCTTGATAAGTTTTCAGAGCCTGAAGAAAACAAACGAGCAGTAAAAAGTGCCGAAAGCGATTGTGGGTGTATTTGTGACAAGTTTAATCTGAGACAAAGCTTGTTCAATGATCAATATCATCAATATACACATTATATTGATGCTTATAGATATTCATGACTTTAATAGTTTGAAATGACATTTGCATTTCCTTGTATCATAGATATGCTTGTATAGACCTTTCATTGCTACAGAGCTTTGCAGGTTGCTTGACCCACTTCCTGCTCACGTGACATGTATTATTAGTATGCTAAAAGTCACGTGATTAACGAGTTTGAAGGGTCAAGCAACCTGCAAAGCACTGTAATTAAATCTAGCAGTGACTTGTTTACATACACCTACCTTTGATGTCATTGATTACAGCATCAATAGGTTTTCAGGGATGCTTAAAAGATTCTTTATACATTTTTATAATGATTGTACATCAAGTTTAAATTTATGGTTACATATAAGCTATCAACATTAGCTCAAACTTCCGATATTAGATGTATATGCATAAAAATATGAGAATTTTTTCCTAGTCATTTTTGGGCAAAATTTGGTACACTTTGACACAATTTTTGAGCAACTTTAAAAATTTTATTTTGATTGGATTCAGCTCAAACTTTCTATACAAGATAAGTATAGATAATAGAGTAATTACTCTAATATCTATGAGATAAGTATGTACCGTATTTCCATAAAAGCCCAGGCGTCTGTTTCCTAAAATGGTATTTGGACCTCAAAAAAATTAAAAAATAAAACTTGGTGCCAAAGTGGGATTTAAACCAGTGACCTCACACACTCGACTTCTGGAACTTAAGGAAGTATCTTATTATTATTATTATTATTAAAGACTTTACAGGACAAATAAAATTGATGTAAAACACATTAAATCAAAAAAGTAATCTAGACATATTGTAGCATGTGGACCTTTTCCTGACACCCTAAAGCTAACTACTAAAGTACAAGTAACTTGGTACGGGTTCTAGCAGCTATAGGAGTCCATGATTTAGTATTACATGTAGAAATATGTGACCATAATTGACAAAAGGGCCCTTATGGCGGATTTTAATATTGATCGTTATAATGGAAAATATCAACCTGTGAGTGCTTTGTTAGACAATCATTGTTTCTAAAAGTTTCATGGTAACTTTTTGCATCCTGTGGAGTAATTTTATGATAAATGGGGCTCAGGAAGTTGGATTTCTTAGGCTAGAAAGACAAATTTCACTACCCGTCATAAGGTACCTTTTGTCAATTATGGTCACATATGAAGACCTGGTGCATGAAATAGTTGAAATTTTATCCTGTCAAAAAATCCACATTTATGTAACAAGGTAATACAATTAATATTCTATTGTCTCTATCAGCAACTCCTCTAATCTTTTAAAAATATTCTGTGATGTTTTGGTGTTCTTTTCCTGCGACTGTTTCCTTACGAAATGATACAAATTCTTCACAAAATCCTTCCTATTTTCACCCATTGAACAAACAAAATTCCTAAAGTAAAATAAAGACAGAAATTACAAGCAACTTTATAAATACTGTAGTTACTGTACACTCACGTGAGCTGCTGATCAGATAGGCCACTGAATATCATCACTAGAAGAGACTTGTGAAACTCTACTTCAACCTTACTCATACCTGCATACTCAACCACCTAATACATCATTGACACAAGGAAATATTAAAGAATATACTGACTCTTAGAACTGAGAGGGATAGAGACCGATCCCTGATGAGGTGAGATAAGAGACACTGGAGATTGAGGCGTTGGGTCGAAGTAAGAGAAGATAAGGTTTTCAAATGATCCCATAAACAATACTGAAATGTTACCTGAAGACATAAAGAGATTAATGAAAATAGAGGAGTAGTCTCATTGTGTATTATTTATAGCAGAAATATGTGGGCCATTTAATAATATTGGTAGCATAGTAGCA